TCAACGTCAGCAATATCCAACCAAAATTAGCCGGAAGGACTAAATTAGTACAAAGACAAAATGTTTAGGACTTATTGGCACCAAAAAAAGGTTTATGACTAAATTGGCACCAATGTAAAATGTTTATGACTTTTCTGACACTTTTTCCTATTTTAATTCAATATTTTATACTATATGTCCTTTATAAAATAGGTCTAGTACTTGGCAATAATTTATGTTACACTTTCAAGGATTAGAAAAATCGCATGACACTAAATTTAAAATAAATATCTTAAATTAAAGTTAAATTTAAGAGAACAAGATGAATGAGGAGCTAAAATTCAAATGCTCCATGGGAATTAGTATGGAGCATATAAACTTGCCCTGCGTAGGGCGGGAGGCAAATATGGGGCCTCCTTAATTGTCGTGGGGTGGGGAGGGGGTTTCTCGTCCCGACTGATGGGCTCAATGGAGTGTTACATTCATGATCAGCTCTAGCAGGATCATGTATTTTTAAAAAAAAGGCAGGGGATCTATTAGATTAACTCAAGAAAATCGATTCACATTTTTTATTTGTTTTTTAATTGAAGAAATTACCTTTGTTTCAACATTATTATGGGAGAAGGATATTAGAAGTGTCAAAAGTTATATATGGCACTCACTTCAGAGCCAAAAGCTTTCGTCGACTCACTTAATTGTCAAATTGGAGAAAAAATGGTCACTGAATTGCCTCCAGCAACAAATTCTGGCCAATATGAGTACGTGACATTTATAATTAAAATATTAAGCTGCGTTGGCATATATTTATTTTTTTTTAAAAGCAATCCACGTGAACGTGGAAAATGGCGTCACTCTATCCAACGTAGCTAGGGGCATAAATGACGTGGCAGCACAGAAGGTAAATAGGGCTCTAATCGCACCACTCTCCCTTTCACTGTCTCTCGCTCACCATTGCTCGCTCTCTATCGCTCGCCATTGCTCGGTCGTCATTGGTCGCTCGTCGACTATGTCGCTATCACTCACTTAGGTTTGTCCTCTTTAACTGAGTTGCTCAATTGGAGGGAAAAATTAGGGCTCCAAGGCCAAGATTAGGGCTTGGCTTCCTTCTCTGATCTTGGGTTATGGAAGGAGACAAAAATTAGTGTTGGGAGAGAAAAATGAGGGTTCTTGGCGCAGCCGTGGGGACAACGGTGCTAGAGGAGGAATCGCGCAATAGTGAAGTGGCCATTGTGTGGTTCTCAATTTGTTTTATCAATTCGGTACTAGTTTTGTTGCTTTATGTCTACTAAATGACAACTGTTGAGTCTTTGTTTAATCAATTAGGTGCGATTGTAGAGACCTTCATGTGAAGTTGTCGTCCTTTCTGCGTTTTGTTCTCAAAAGCTAATTTTTTTTTCTTTTCTTGGGTGCAATGTTAGAATGGGGATAGTACTATAGCTATCATTGTCTGCTATGGTGGGGAATTTGTTATGGCACCGATGAGTGGGAATATGCAAGTGAAAATTAAGGTACTATCATTATCAATGTAAGGAGGCCATCATATATTGATTTTGTTAAAGATATAGTGCAACAGCTACAATGCTAAATAGAAAAATTGAACTATTGTGCTCCTAGGAAGAGCTTGAAAGATGGTTTGAGATACTTCCATGATGATAATGGTGTTAAGGATATTATTTATCATTATCTTGATGGCGAAGAAGCTAAAGTGTATGTTGAGTATTACGGTGATGATGCAGATGATGAAGATGATAAGAGCACTCAAGTAAAAGAAGTAGGAAATGGTATTGAACCGAGTACTCAAGTTATGGATTGATTTATTTTAAACGAAGTAGAACAGGAGAGGTAGAAGAGGGAGGCAAGGCATATAGAGTGTGTGTTTCAGCAAATGGGAGTCTCTAGTTGATTGGTGCGTAGGCGAGTGATTCCGGAAATAGTATTTATGAGTTACGTGTATGGACGGGTGTGTGTGTTGGGGATGGTTGTTGATGGGTAAAATGCAAATGTAGGATAGAATACGACCACCACCAAGGTACAAAGGACGCGCCACAACCAAGGATAAAGATCGGAATTGACGAAGTTCACTACCAAGCCTCAAAAGACAAGCCACTCGCCAAGGATATAGGACTTCGAGATAGAAGAAGCTCACCACCAAGGCCTAAAGGGAAAACTACCAACTAAGGATAAAGCATTTCTTAGCTCACCACCAAGGAACTCCAAGGATAAAAAAATCGATATAGGAGTAATCCACTCTCCAGAGATATTCGCTCACACAAAGGAATATCTCATGTATTTTCATTCATCAAAATTGTCTTCTTTACATTTGAGATTTTGCCTCTTTATATAGGGAAACTAATACATGGGAAATAGACTCAACATTAAAGACATGGAAACTACCAACTAATAAAGACATATAAACTAGAAAACACGATAAATTCTTAGAAACTAGAAATGCAACACCTAGAGACTTGAATTTTGACTCTTGAAACCCACAACACAATTAAGACTCATAAAACTCGGATTAAAGATATTTGACCAAATGCAAATAATTATACTTAGACTTTAAATTCGTTCTCCGGCTTGGGCAGCCCAATAGACATCTTGAAAGATCACCAAATAGCAAAGGAAATCATCCAAAACAACCTTCGATTACTAGATAGTCGATTAGTAATCTCGGAATTGATAACAATATTGTAAATCGATATCTTGGTAGTCGTTTGGCAACCACAAAATTGACAAATTGTCCACCAATTCGATAACTTTCCCACATAATCGGCAACCATTCTTACTTACTGATAACTAGCATATAATATCGACATGAGTTGATCGACAAAGCCCAATGCTTCTGCATCACTAGTGAAGACATAAGTGATAGGGGTGAGCGGTTCCCGATCCGGTCCGGTTCCAAGGTGGAACCGGGAACTGGACCGAGAGAACCGGTTCCCAATTTTGGGAACCGCGGACCGGACCGGTTGGTTCTAGGACCGGGAACCGGACCGGACCGTCGGTCCGGTCCGGTTCCGGTCCAATCCAATGGAACCGGTTACTTAGAGTTTAGGGTTTTTTTTTTGTCAAACACTTAAGGTTTGATTCACATTTTACTAATTTTTGTCAATAAATTTATGTCAATGAAGTTCACTTAGGGTTTAATTCACATTTTACTATTTTTTATCAATGAATTTATGATAATAAAGTTCACTTAGAGTTTAGTTCACATTTTATTAATTTTTTTAAAGAAAAAAATAACAAAAATACATATTAAATAGTCGGTCCGGTCCGGTCGGTCCGGTCCGGTCCGGTTCCCCCTTGGAACCGGGAACCGGACCGCCCGGAAACCGGTTCCGCTTTTAGGAACCGGGAACCGGACCGATAGTCCCGAGAACCGGACCAAACTTGTCGGTCCGGTCCGGTCCGGTCCGGTCCCGGTTTGGGCGGTCCAAGTTGCTCACCCCTAATAAGTGATGAAAAATTGACTAGATTAGAGTGGGCAATTGTTCTATCCAGCGAAACAAATGATGAAGCTTTGCCAAATGTAAATTACCCAAGTGATAATGACGGGGGACTTGCACAGTCAAGGCAAAAAAGCATAGGGAATTTTAGAAAAATTAATTTGCAGCATTTGGACAATCGCATGAATCTCAACCTATTAATATGATGAAGGAGCTTCAGCCCAAGGTAATGAAACCGATCATGAATAAAGTGGCAGTGATGATGATAGTCACAGTTTAGAGAATGAGAATGAAGATAATGCAATGGCTGTGCATAGAAGAAAAAATAAGTATCCTTCTTATAATCCGAGTGTTGCATGTCATTTGTTGTCTGTTGGTATGAAATTTGATGATGCCAAACAGTTCAAAGAATCTATTGTCAAGTACTCAATTACTGAATAGAGGAATGTTGAATTCATTAGAAATACAAAGTGTTCACAACCAAAATATTCATGGAAGATATATGACACGTTGAGTAGGAAGAGTAGCTCATTCCAGCTTAAGTTCTTGTAGGAGGAACATAGTTGTTTCATTGTATTTGACAATAAAAGAGTGACAAATGCATGATTGTAGAGCATTTTTTCAATACTATCAAGGTGATACCTAAGATCAAGAGTCATCAGCTAAAGTAGTTAGTGAAGGAACAAGTAAAGATTAATGTGTCTAAGAATCAATGTAAAAAAGCCAAGCAAAAAGTGATGAGTGCACTGATAAGTAAGTATAATGAAAAATATGCTTAGGTTTGGGCTCCCATCTAGTAGGAGAAAATATTCAGTTATTTATACATGTCACGTCCCGTGGCTACGCGACGTGCATAAACTCACGTGGACCACTAATAGAGGGACTTGCGGCTCTGTCTTGGAATAAAAAAAGGGAGGGCTATATTTTGAGACTCTCTCTCCTCTAGGCTCTAGCGCCTTAGGAGGACTGACTCTCTCTCCTCTGCACCTCTGGGAGGCGTGAGCGAGCAAAAGCAAGCAACGCAATTAATGCGTGCATTTATTGCTTTGTTCTCTCTCTCCCCCTCTCCCTCTCTCTCTTCTTTCACGTAAGTTTGAATGGCTGTTTACTTTTTCACTTCGGACTCTTCCCCTCCCAGAAAGCTTCCCTCTAATCTCATCCTTCTTTCTTCACTTACGTCCTTCACTTACGTCCTTGTCGGCTCCGGAAACCGCTGGTGAAAAGCAGAAGGCCGGTCGCAGCGGCTAGGTCCCAAGACCCTTTTGCCTCCACCTCCACCTCCACCTCCACCTCTGCCTCCACCTCCGCCCTCCCGTCTCCGTCCTCCCGCCTTCGCCTCCGCCTCCGCCTCCCCCTCATGGCCTCCCCCTCCGCCTCGTCGCCTCAGCCTCGTTGTCTTGCAAAATCCAGTTCAGTCTTTTGTTTGACGCTTGTTTGAGGGCTGTGGATCTTCTCCTCTCCATAAGAATGGATAATGATACGCTGCTGTTATACTTTTCTCCAAACGAAACTTATGCCATCTGTTGTTGATTTACCACTCTGCATTTAGGTTAGCTTTAAGGAAAAGATTAGCCGGTTATTAGATGAGAAAGCTAGGTTAATAGATGAGAAAGCAAATTTGGAACTGAAGCAGGTATATCTTCTTATCTTTAGTTCTTTGTGAATTTTGTTTCATGTTTTGTTTAATAAATCACATCCTACGTGTAGGCTAGCTTTAAGGAGAAGATTAGCCAGATCTTAGATGAGAAAGCCAATATGGGATTGAAACAGGTATCTTTTAAGTTCCTTATTCACAATCACATTATCAAAAGTCAAATATTTTGTTTGTTGGTGTTAAGGTTTGACTATTCTTTCTACATAATCCATTTTTTGAGAAGTCTTCTTAAGTTATATAACTCATTATTTACGGAGATGAAAGTGACTAACTCTGAAAATGATTCACAGGAAAGTTTGGAGGAAAAAATAAGACAACTATAAGAGATCATGGTTCGTGGGTCTCAAAGGAGGTAAGCAACTTTTTGTACCATGCTTGTTCTTGTTAGTCAAATTTTACTGGGAAAAATTCTATCATTTTGGTTAATTCTTTAAGGCAAGCTTTTTTAAGCCATGAGTAGTGGAGCTAACAGATTTTGAAAATGATCGACAGGAACATTTAGTGGAAAAAATACGAGAACTAGAAAGGGATCATGATTCTTGGGTTTTAAAGGAGGTACTCTACGGACTTCGCTTGATAGCTTGTTCTTGTTTAGATTGCATTGAGAAAAGGTTTTTTCATTCAATGAGCTTATGGTCAAAGCATTTTTTACCTATGACATATGGGGATGACAGACTTTGAAACTAATTCACAGAAAAGTTTGGAGGAAAAAATAAGATAATTAGGAAAAAATCATAAATCCTGACTTTTAAAGGAGGTGAGAAACTTTCTGTAATATCTTTGTGTTAGAGTAGAATTATTTTTATTTTCTAGGTTTTATTCCTTTTTACATATATAAGGGCATTATGGTCATATACAATTCATATTTAATATAAATATATCGTGATGGGTGTAGGGTTTCTGTTACACACAGAAACCAAGAGCCCCTTTTTTTTGGATTTTACAATCTCTTTCTTTCTCTCTTCTTCTCCTCTCTTTTTCTTCTCTCTTCCTTCTTTTCTCTCGTTATTTTTTTGCGGGTTCTCTAATCAGCTTAGTAACATGGTATCAGAGCACGGTTTGACTACCTGATTCCCTGGTCCTATTGCTGGTTTGAGAGTCCCCTAATAACCCTATTCCTTCTCTGGTGCGTAGCCACCTATAGCTGCAATTTTTACCTATTTTCTCTTCAAGTCCCGATACATATAAGATCAGGAGAAATCAGATTTATCAGGTTCTGTTTGTGACAATGGATTACAACACTTCCTGATCAGCAGATTCAAGGATCAGGGTATTTCGTTGATTATGCAGCCTATATTTATAAGATTTCAGCATCCCTTTGTTTGATTGATGGAGCCAATTGCATCTGATTATATGTTGGTATTGCTGTTTTATTTCTTGCACTGAAGTTTCGGCCTTTGTGATCGGTGGTAGATATATTTATATTGAGATTTTCACCATGAATGGCACTAAGTCTTCTACGGACAGTGTCAATGTTCAGATTACCACCATTAAATTGAATGGATCCTCCAATTACTTGCTATGGGCTCAAGCTGTGAAAGTTTATATTAATGCCAAAGGGAAACTTACTTATCTTACCACAGAACCCCTTGCTGAAAACTCTAAAGACTATAGTGACTGGATGAGAGAGAATGATACACTTTTGGTGTGGTTATGGAATAGCATGGAACCATCCATTGCTGCTAATGTCATGTTCCACACAACTGCCAAGGGAGTGTGGGATGATCTTATGGAGAGTTACTCACAAGACAAAAACATGTCTAGAGTCTATGAGCTCTATGAGAAGATCTTTAATTTTAAACAGGGGGACAAGTCTCTTGGAGAGTATTATTGTTCTTTGAAAGGCATGTGGGAAGAACTTAATCTTTATTAGCCCATCACTACTGATCTTGAGACACTAAAGACACAACGAGCTGAATTTCAGGTGGCCAAGTTTTTATCAGGCTTGAATGCTAACTTACAGCCTATGAAGAGTCAACTTCTTGCTGGAGAGAGAGTTCCTTCTATGAATGAAGCATTTTGTCGGATTCAGCGCATTGTCCCTTCGTCTGCTACATCATCTAAAGATAATTCAGCATTTGTGGCTAGTAGTGGTGTTCGTGGTCGTGGTGGATTTTCTAATAGAGGTCGTGGTTTAGGGGGAGGTCGCGGTCGTGGTGGTGGACGTAGTGGACAAAATTCTGATCGAGATAGCCGTCAGTGTATATACTGCGGCAAATCTGGTCATATTGTTGACACATGTTGGGCCAAGCATGGCAAGCCTGAGTGGGCTCAGCGATTAGTTACTGCAAATGCTGCTATGTCTGAAGGGAGTGTTGGAAATGTGTCTTACGGCGACACGAATCCATCTATCCCAAGTGGGGGTAGTTCTTCTGAGTCCGCGTCTCGGGATGATATGGTCACACAACTCATCAAGCGTGTCCAACAACTGGAGGCTTCCAATTTCTCATCCACCGCCACTCTTGCACGTACAGGTAACATGGCCTTTTTCTCTACTTTGTCTCCTGGCACCTCTTGGGTCATTGACTCGAGAGCTTCTAGTCATATGACGGGTAAGCAAGAATTATTTTCTTCCCACCATAACTCTAGTCCTTCACTTGAAGTTATTCTAGCTAATGGTTCCTCTACTCAAGTGGTTGGATCAGGGGCTGTTTCACTTACACCCTCCTTATCCTTGTCCTCCGTTTTACATGTTCCCCAACTTCCTTTGAATTTGTTATCTGTTAGTCAGTTAACTAAAAATCTTGGTTGTTCTGTTACATTTTACCCCTCTTATTGCATTTTTCAGGACCTTCAGACAAAGAAGAAGATTGGTGGAGGGCATGAACATGATGGACTCTATTATCTGGATGGTGTCTCCACTGCTGACGCTAATAGTCTAGCTGCTAGTCTTATTACCCCCCTATTATGGCATTCCCGTTTAGGGCATTTATCTTTATTTAAATTACAGCAAATAATTCCCGAGTGTAAATCAATTTCTACTCTTGAGTGCGAGGCTTGTGAACTTGGGAAACATCATCGAAGTTCTTTTCCTAGTCGTAGTGATTCTCGTGCATCTACTTTATTAGAACTTGTTCATTCGGACATCTGGGGACCTTCCCGTGTTGCTAATAGAAATGGTTTTAAGTACTTTGTTACTTTTGTGGATGATTATTCTCGTCTAACATGGCTTTATATGCTTCATGATCGTTCTGAATTTTTACATGTTTTTCAATTATTTCATCGTGAGGTTACTAATCAGTTTAATACATCCCTTAAAATTTTGCGAACAGATAATGCTCTAGAATACTCACAAAAATCAATTTCTTTGTTTTGTTCTAGTCTTGGCATTATACATCAAACAAGTTGTACTTATACCCCTCAGCAGAATGGTGTGGCCGAGAGAAAGAACCGTCACCTTCTAGAAGTTGCTCATTCACTCTTGTTACATATGCATGTCCCAAAATCATTTTGGAGTGATGCTGTCCTTACTGCTTGTTACCTCATAAATCGTATGCCTTCCACTGTCCTCAATCAACAGTCACCAATCAGTATTGTATTTCCTGACAAGCCATTATTTTCTCTTACCCCGCGTGTCTTTGGGTGTGTGTTTTGTCCATAATCTACGACCTGGTGCTGATAAACTATCCCCTCGTGCTACTAAATGTGTTTTTCTCGGGTATTCACGTACTCAAAAGGGATATCGGTGTTATGATCCTATAACTTATACTCAATATGTCAGTGCTGACGTTACTTTTTTCGAGGGCACACCATACTATTCTACTGAGGGTAAAGAGTTTTCAACTGACATTGTAGCTGATCCTCCTATTCCACAACTTATTCCCTTAGATTCCGTTAGTCCTTCCGTACCTCCTCCCTTGCAGGTATATCAGCGGCGAAAGCAGTCTACGGCACCACCAGTCTCTAGCTCTTCCGTGCCCTCCGTTCAATCTCCCTCCTTGTCTCCTGGTCCGGACGATCTTCCGATTGCCCTTCGCAAAGGTACTCGTTCTTGTACACAAAAATCCTCTTTTGCTTACCCTATCGAGCGTTATGTGTCTCTTTCACATCTTCCTCCTCCATTACATGACTTTGCTCTATCATTACATACTCACATAATTCCTACTTCTACCACTGAGGCCTTGTCTCATCTCGAGTGGAAGAGAGCTATGGATGTAGAAATGGAAGCTTTGGTGTCCCGCCAAACGTGGTCTTTGGTTGATCTTCCTCTTGGGAAAGATGTGGTGAAGTGTCGTTGGGTATACACTATCAAGTATAACCCGGATGGCTCAGTTGAGCGTCTCAAAGCTCGGCTCGTTGCTAAAGGTTTTACTCAAACTTATGGAGTGGATTATTTTGAGACTTTTTCCCCCGTGGCACGTCTCAATTCTGTTCGTGTTATTATTTCTCTTGCTGTGAATTTTGATTGGCCATTATATCAATTGGATGTCAAGAATGCTTTTCTTTATGGTGATTTGTCTGAAGAAGTATATATGGAGCAACCTCCTGGGTATGTCGCCCAGGGGGAGGATCGCAGTAAAGTATGCCGGCTACATAAAGCTATTTATGGGTTGAAACAATCTCCTAGAGCATGGTTTGAGAAAGTCAGTTCAGTGATTTCCAAGTGCGGTTTTCACCAATGTTATTTTGATCATTCTGTTTTTGTTCGCAAGAAGGAGTCGGGAGTGGTCATTCTTGTTGTTTATGTGGATGATATAATTGTCTCTGGTAGTGATGCGACCGGAATTTCTGAGGTTAAATCTTTTCTTCAACAGCAATTTCAGATTAAAGACTTGGGAGCTCTTAGGTATTTTCTAGGTATTGAAGTTTTACGAAGTAGGAAAGGTATTAATTTGTCTCAGCGAAAGTATGTTCTTGATCTTTTATCTGAGACTGGTACACTAGCTTCCAAGCCAGTTGATACTCCTATGGATCCAAATCAAAAGTTTGGAGTTGATGATGGAGATGATACTGAAGATAAACATCGGTATCGGCGTCTAGTTGGGAAACTAATTTATCTTACTGTTACACGTCCCGATATTTCTTTTGCTGTTAGTGTGGTGAGTCAGTTTATGGAATCACCCAAGAAGGCTCATTGGGATGCTGTTTGTCGCATTCTTCGATATCTTAAAGGCTCTCCTGGTAAGGGACTGATTTATAAACCGAATGGTTCTTCCACCTTAATTGGCTATTCTGATGCTGATTGGGCCGGGTCAAAGTGTGATCGGCGGTCTACGACTGGGTATTGCACCTTTCTTGGTGGTAATTTGGTTACTTGGAGAAGCAAAAAACAGACTACCATTGCCAGATCTAGTGCGGAGGCTGAATATCGTGCTATGGCACAAACTGTGGCTGAATTGCTGTGGTTGAAATCTCTTCTCCAGGAGCTTGGATTTTCTATTAATCATCCTATTGATATGATGTGTGATAATCAGGCAGCTATTTATATTGCTGCAAATCCTGTTTTTCAAGAACGAACTAAGCATATAGAAGTTGACTGTCACTTTGTTCGTGATGCTGTGAAGCAAAAGTTGGTTGCCACTCCTTACGTTGCCTCTAGAGATCAGTTTGCTGATATGTTCACTAAAGCGTTGTTTCGTCCTGCCTTTGTTGTTGGTTGTTCTAAGCTGGGCATGGGTGATCTATATGCTCCAGCTTGAGGGGGAGTGTTAGAGTAGAATTATTTTTATTTTCTAGGTTTTATTCCTTTTTACATATATAAGGGCATTATGGTCATATACAATTCATATTTAATATAAATATATCGTGATGGGTGTAGGGTTTCTGTTACACACAGAAACCAAGAGCCCCTTTTTTTTGGATTTTACAATCTCTTTCTTTCTCTCTTCTTCTCCTCTCTTTTTCTTCTCTCTTCCTTCTTTTCTCTCGTTATTTTTCTGCAGGTTCTCTAATTAGCTTAGTAACTTCTTGTTAGTCAAATTTCAATGAGAAAAAAATTCTATCATTTGATGAAACTGCTACTACATATGCCCATCACAAAAGGAAGTCTAAAATTTTGAATGATTAAAACATTTTGCCTCTCGTTCTCCACGAAAAGTTTGAAGTTCATGGTTGGCTCTTAATATTAGATATGAGATATGTGATGTGATTTGTGTTTTTTTTTTCAATGTGTATGAGAGAATTTTCTGCTGCGTCTTTCTTGCTGGAGGGTTTGTCGCCAGTAGCATCCTTGATATCCCTGAGTTGTTATGTATTTTTTATTTTTTAAATGTGTAGATCACACATGTTCACCACACACATTGCAATAGGCTTTTGCTCTCCGGATACTTATGAATGGTCTACACTTTAAAGACCTATTCAAGGAATTTGTTGATATCAAAAGGATGTATTCTTTATAGCCAGCCCAAGTGGAATCAATTATATAGCAGTTGGTGAGTTCTTGTGCAGAAACTCAATCAGAGTTTCTGGGGAAATGCTCTAATCCATTATGGAAGAATTCTTAAATTACCAGCCTTTTAATCATTTTCTGCAAGACGACAAGTTTCCTCTACTAGAAGAAAAGCCTTATTTTCATGCCTGACGAATGCAAGGATTTATTCCAAGTTCGATCTCAAAGCATGATTTTGGCAGCTTAGAATTCATCCAAAAGATCGCCACAAAACAGGATTATGTATTCCTAATCGGCATTATCAATGGAATGTACTCCATTTTGGTCTAAAGACTACACCTTCTCTCTTCTAGAAAGCCATATGCAAGATTTTTCAGCCAATTAGTGCTAGTTCTCAAATTTACATTGATTATATCATCTTCTTCAGCCATGATGAGGAATCTCAAAGTAGATTACTAGCCCAATTTGCTGATTATGTCAAACAGTATGGCATAATGATTTCACAAAGGAATATGGTAATAGCTCAGAAGGAAATTGAGTTCCTTGGAATGCACCTTAAGGATGGATCTTACTATCCAAGGGAGCATATTGCAAAAGAATTGCTGAAATTTCCAGATTAGAATCTTTCCCCTGATCAAGTACAACAATTCCTTGGTATTGTTAATTACTTAAGAAACTTTGTGCCAAAGATTTCAAAACTCACGCATCCACTTCAAATTATGCTCAAGAATGATCCTCCTACTAGGGGAAAATCCTAGACTACTGTAGTCAAAGCTCTCAAAGAAAAACTTCAAGATTTGCCACCATTGCAAATCTCTTCCGATGGCCAAGGAATCCTCTAGACAGATCCTAGTGGCCAATATTGGGCAGTTATTCTTTTAGAAGAAATTGAAGGCAAGAGGCGTATTTGTAGATTTAAAAGTGGAAGCTTCACGGATGCTGAAATGCATTATCACTCAACTTTTAAAAAAAAATTAGCCGTTAAGTATGGAATCAAAAATTTGAATTCCATCTTATTAGTTATGATTTTCTTGTTGAATTGGATATGTCATCCTTCAATTAGATGATGAAGTTCAACCAGAAGTAAATGCCTCATCCACAACTTCTCCAATGGGCATAATGGTTTTCAAAATACTCTTTTGAATCCAAACATATTAAAGGAAATAAGAATGTCCTTACAGATCTCCTTTCCAGGCACAAAGAAGATTCTTCATTATTCATGTATATTTCCAGAAGTCCAACTAATGGATTTCGAACACAAGACATGAAGCCCAAACTCCCTGGTAGAATGTATCCTCTTGAAGTTCCAAATTTGATCAGATCCAACACTCTTTTTACTAATCTCGCAAACTTCATGTGGGAATATATCAGTACAAGATCTACAGGAAGTATGGTGGGCTGAATCTTCAACCAAGTGGCATGCATCCTGATTATCCGTTCATTCATCCTCTGTCTTTCTCCTTAGAAGATGAATTTCTGGAAGAACTTAAATGGTTTTATTGGTATGTATTTAATTGCCATACTTTTGCCATTCAATTTCCAATAGCGAAGATGCCAAGAATTATCAGCCAAG